CCCTCCCACCCTGTCTCCCCTTCATCATTCAGGTCTCAGCTCAAATGTCACCTCCTCAGAACTGATCCCGTCACCCAAACCAAACACATGCCCTCATAGTATTCTCATCAGTCTCTGAAATTCGTATATGCTTTCTTGATTTCCACCAATCTTCTTTACTAAAACACATTCCACAAGAGCAGGGATGCTCTTAGAACAGGGCCTGGTACTTACAGATTTTCAATAATTACCTGTTGAATGAATGAATGTTCTTAACTTAGTGGGAACCACATCAGCTAAGGAAGGATTCATTTGATACGTTTACGGACGCTTAGCAGGGAGCTGAATCCTGAGGCTGCAGGCCGGAAAGAATTGATCAGGTACAAGGCAGGTAGGTTACCCTGGCACCAGGCCCCAGGAAGCAGCAGAAAAAGGGTTGCTACAAAGAGAGTGTCAGGACCAATCCCAGACTCAGTCCCTTACCACTGCAACACACATACAAACACACAAGGGCTCACACACACTCCTCCAAACTCGGCCTCCCAAGAAAAACAGCTTAACAGCTCCAACTCCCCAGATCACAGCCTAAGATCCCAGACAGGGGGAAAGATCATTCTTTGTAATTACTGCGTAGGAGCTTCCATACGGCACCCTGCTGAGATCAGGGAAGCAATACGGATCTGAACAGACGGCTTATTAAATTACCCACTGCAGCAACTCCATGAGCGCTTCCAAATGGCTTGATTTTTTTTCTCCCTATTCTTTTTCCTATCCATGGGTGTTTTAATGTTTGCGTTCTTCTCTCCACTGTTTAGGATTTCCCTTAGGTGTTCAGAGGACTTCTTTCCTTCTGTCAGCGGCGGTTTTTTATCACCCACCTCCCTGACTCTTTCATGTGGTGTGGGGGATACAGAAAGAGTCAAGTTCCAGGCTGGATCCATCTTCAGAAGTCAGGAGACCCAGCGTCTTGCATCTTGGTTCTGTGTGATCCAGGGCAAGCCATCGACTTCTCTGAGCTGTGGTTTCCCCACGGGTAAATAGAGGTTTTCAGGGAGGGGAACAGTCTCCCTTTACCCATTGTGAGTTCTTGTGGCCACACTATTACTAAAGTTAACAATATATAGATTGACAGGAGAAATTTTTTTTTTTTTTTCATTTCACAAGAACATTTATTTTATTTTTTTTTAACTGTTTACAATATGTTTTTTTTTTTTTCCATTGTTGAAAATAGTTCATTTTTTTTTTTTTTTTACATGTATTCCCCATCCCGGTCCCCCCTCCCACCTCCCTCTCCACCCAATCCCTCTGGGTCTTCCCAGTGCACCAGGCCCGAGCACTTGTCTCATGCACCCAACCTGGGCTGGTGAACTGTTTCACCCTAGATAATATACGTGTTTCAATGCTGTTCTCTTGAAACATCCCACCCTCGCCTTCTCCCAGAGTCCACAAGTCTGTTCTATACATAGGAGTCTCTTTTTCTGTTTTGCACATAGGGTTATCGTTACTATCTTTCTAAATTCCATATATATGTGTTAGTATACTGTAATGGTCTTTATCTTTCTGGCTTACTTCGCTCTGTATAAAGGGCTCCAGTTTCATCCATCTCATTAGAACTGATTCAAATGAATTCTTTTTAATGGCTGAGTAATATTCCATGGTGTATATGTACCACAGCTTCCTCATCCATTCGTCTGCTGATGGGCATCTAGGTTGCTTCCATGTCCTGGCTATTATAAACAGTGCTGCGATGAACATTGGGGTGCACGTGTCTCTTTCAGATCTGGTTTCCTCGGTGTGTATGCCCAGAAGTGGGATTGCTGGGTCATATGGCAGTTCTATTTCCAGCTTTTTAAGAAATCTCCACACTGTTTTCCATAGTGGCTGTACTAATTTGCATTCCCACCAACAGTGTAAGAGGGTTCCCTTTTCTCCACACCCTCTCCAGCATTTATTGCTTGTAGACTTTTGGATAGCAGCCATCCTGACTGGTGTGTAATGGTACCTCATTGTGGTTTTGATTTGCATTTCTCTGATAATGAGTGATGTTGAGCATCTTTTCATGTGTTTGTTAGCCATCTGTATGTCTTCCTTGGAGAAATGTCTGTTCAGTTCTTTGGCCCATTTTTTGATTGGGTCATTTATTTTTCTGGAGTTGAGCTGGAGGAGTTGCTTGTATATTTTTGAGATTAATCCTTTGTCTGTTGCTTCGCTTGCTATTATTTTCTCCCAATCTGAGGGCTGTCTTTTCACCTTGCTTATAGTTTCCTTTGTTGTGCAAAAGCTTTTAAGTTTCATTAGGTCCCATTTGTTTATTTTTGCTTTTATTTCTAAAATTCTGGGATGTGGGTCATAGAGGATCCTGCTGTGATTTATGTCGGAGAGTGTTTTGCCTATGTTCTCCTCTAGGAGTTTTATAGTTTCTGGTCTTACATTTAGATCTTTAATCCATCTTGAGTTTATTTTTGTGTATGGTGTTAGAAAGTGTTCTAGTTTCATTCTTTTACAGGTGGTTGACCAGTTTTCCCAGCACCACTTGTTAAAGAGGTTGTCTTTTTTCCATTGTATATCCTTGCCTCCTTTGTCAAAGATAAGGTGACCATAGGTTCATGGATTTATCTCTGGGCTTTCTATTCTGTTCCATTGATCTATATTTCTGTCTTTGTGCCAGTACCATACTGTCTTGATGACTGTGGCTTTGTAGTATAGTCTGAAGTCAGGCAGATTGATTCCTCCAGTTCCATTCTTCTTTCTCAGGATTACTTTGGCTATTCGAGGTTTTTTGTATTTCCATACAAATTGTGAAATTATTCGTTCTAGTTCTGTGAAAAATACCGTTGGTAGTTTGATAGGGATTGCATTGAATCTGTAGATTGCTTTGGGTAGTATAGCCATTTTGACAATATTGATTCTTCCAATCCATGAACACGGTATATTTCTCCATCTGTTTGTGTCCTCTTTGATTTCTTTCATCAGTGTTTTATAGTTTTCTATGTATAGGTCTTTTGTTTCTTTAGGTAGATATACTCCTAAGTATTTTATTCTTTTTGTTGCAATGGTGAATGGTATTGTTTCCTTAATTTCTCTTTCTGTTTTCTCATTGTTAGTGTATAGGAATAAGCTGGAAATAGAACTGCCATATGACCCAGCAATCCCACTTCTGGGCATACACACCGAGGAAACCAGATCTGAAAGAGACACGTGTACCCCAATGTTCATCGCAGCACTGTTTATAATAGCCAGGACATGGAAGCAACCTAGATGCCCATCAGCAGACGAATGGATGAGGAAGCTGTGGTACATATACACCATGGAATATTACTCAGCCATTAGAAAGAATTCATTTGAATCAGTTCTAATGAGATGGATGAAACTGGAGCCCATTATACAGAGCGAAGTAAGCCAGAAAGATAAAGACCATTACAGTATACTAACACATATATATGGAATTTAGAAAGATAGTAACGATAACCCTATGTGCAAAACAGAAAAAGAGACTCCTATGTATAGAACAGACTTGTGGACTCTGGGAGAAGGCGAGGGTGGGATGTTTCAAGAGAACAGCATTGAAACACGTATATTATCTAGGGTGAAACAGTTCACCAGCCCAGGTTGGGTGCATGAGACAAGTGCTCGGGCCTGGTGCACTGGGAAGACCCAGAGGGATTGGGTGGAGAGGGAGGTGGGGGGGGGACCGGGATGGGGAATACATGTGAAAAAAACAAAAAACAAAACAAAATTTACCTTAAAAAAAAAAAAAAAAAAGAACATATGATAGGATGACATTTATATGACTTAGCCTTAAGAAGTCACTTAGACCAGGGGCTTCCCTGGGGTGGTCTAGTGGTTGAGAATCTGCCTGCCAAAGCAGGGGTCATGGGTTTGATCCCTGGTCTGGGAAGTTCCCACATGCCACGGAGGAACTAAGCTCCTAGTTCCACAACTACTGAGTCAGTGCTCTAGAGCCCATGCGCCACAATCCCTGAGTGACAGGAGCTGCAACTGTGGAAATCCATGTGCCTTCAGCCTGTGTTCTGCAACAGGAGAAGCCACTGCAATGAGAAGCCTGCTCACCGCAAGGAAGAGCAGCCCACCCCACCCCCACAGTCACAACTAAAGTCTGTGCCAAAAATAAATTAATAAAAAAAGTCTTGGTTCATTAAGACACTAACATTATTAAAAAAAAAGAAAAAGAAAAAGTCACAGGCCATCACTTGCTCTGCACTCTGTCTACATAGTCACAAAGACCCACCAGTGTTCAAGGGGAGGGGACACAGACTCTACCTCTTGATGGAGAAAATTAAGATTCTAGAAAAACACATAAGATGGGAGAATTACTGCAGCCTTCTTTGGAAAATATAACATACCACCCCTCCCAGGTGCCACCTCTCAAAATAATCTTCCCTGACTTTCAAACACAAGAAGCTATATTCCCTCACTTTGGGTCCAAATTTCTTGCAGCATCCACACTACTCTGAACCTCTTAGCACTTTGTGTTTTTTCTACTGTGCAAAATAATGGCACAGATGATGATAGAAGGAAAAAATAGAGATGTTTCACAATTTGATTCTGCCATCACTATTCAAGCAGACAGTTCTGAAATATAACCTTATTCATTTAGAACCCTTAATACCCTCAATCTCTTCATCTGTGAAATAAAGAGTAATAATAACTACACCACAATAAATTTTTTGAGAGGATAAAAGTAAATAAACCAAACTTCATGAAGCACTTAACACATATTTAGTAATCCTGGCTTCTAAGCCGTTAGCACAAAAATATTAGCTATTATGACAATGCCACAAAGTTGGAATTTGCAACAATTCATAAAGAAAACATTTATCTTACCTTCAGAATACACTTATAGCCAGTGAAAGTTGACGGTAGAGAAGATAAGGGGTGGAATAGAAGAGGAGAGATATTTTAAATATTTATGGCACAACTTTTTGAAGCCTTTGACATGGAGATGGGGCCTGTATGGCCTCTCCAACGTTGAGTTCTTTGGGAAGGCTGGGGGAGGGTGGTTATCCCAGACGGTGCGGAAGGGCATGAGTGAGCCTAGAGTCTGTGGGCATCAGGGATCCCTGCAGGGCCCTGCCGGGCTCAACCAGGCCACACAGTGAGAAGGACGACGTTCCAGGCCCGTTCCAGCTCTGAAAGTCTGCTCCTCCACTAGCAGAGGTTCTTCGGATTACCGAGAACAGGATCTGACTCTGGAGTCATAAGTCATAAAGGAAATTTAGTGAAAAGATGCTAGGGTATCAGAAAAGGCAGGGGGCCCTGGGGGCCTTCTTACCAAAGTGCGGCCAGTATGGGAACTCAGCTCCAGGAGCCACCCGGTCCGTCTCTCCATTCCCGGGTTCCCGCCCTCTGCCCGCGCTTTCGCAGCGACAGCCAGGGAGCAGCGTCCCGTGTAGTGCGCGTGGCTGCGGTGAGCTCAGCCCACATGAAGCGGCCGCTGCGGAGAGTCAGGCAGCCGATACACACCTGTCCTCAATCCCGGCTCTGAAAGTCTCCATCTCCTCGTCTGTGTATTCCGTGTGGTGCTCAGCTGGGACAATCTCAGCCAAATACCTGAACCAAAGCAGAACCTCAGTGAGGGGCGAGCCTCGGCAGTTTGGGCCTTTGAATAAAAAGCAAATTGAGGGAACCAAGTCTCTGCAAGTGGCACAATTGTGTTCCTTTTTAGGGCTAAGTAATATTCCATTATGTATATGCAGTACATCTCCTTTATCCATTCCTCTGCTGAGGGACATTTAGCTTGCAACTATACTCCAATAAAATTAAAAAAAAAAAAAGCAAATGAGGCAAAAAGCAATGGAAAGTGCGGAGGACAAAGAGCTTCTTCATGGAAAAGGTCCTCACCAGCTTCCCCCTTCTCCCTCTTCATTGTCACAAAAACTGCCTGCACTCAGTGGGGAGCTGGGGTACCTGGGGAAGAATTTGATCACCAAGATATGTTTCTTATTCATCTACCACGTGCTCAACAGTGTTCTGAGGCTTCAGAAATAAATAGACTCTGTGTTTCACAGCAGACAATATGCTTCGTGGTTAAGATCCCAGCTAGGAAATATAGAGATCAGGGTTCAGATTCCACTTCTCCCTCTTCTGTGCTTTGTAACCTTGCCTATGCCTCCTCAAGCTGCAGTGAAATGTGGCTAATAATTGAGCCCTGTTGCCCCTTATACGTAAAATCTCAGGCCTTCAGTGAGCATTATCCCACATAAGAGTCAAAGCAACCTTATAAATAAACATTCTTATTCCTATCTTATAAATAAAGAACTTGAGACTTTGTTTATGTAACTTACTCAAGAAAAACATGTATATCAAGAGGAAGCATGAAGATTCAAACTTAGATCACTCCATTTTTTTTTTTTTGCCATGCCGTGTTGCTTATGAAATGTTAGTTCCCAGGCCAGGGATTGAACCCAGGCCCCCAGCAGTGAGGGTGCAGAGTCCTTACTACCAGACTGCCTGCGAATTCCCCAAGACCACTCTAATTTTAGACCACATATTCTGTCCACAGATCCAGTATCAGTCAATGTTGGTTCTCTGTGACTTCAGCCATACAATGTCCATTTAAAACAAAACAAAACTTCAATCAGCAAAACAAGGCAGTGTCCATCATGCCATCTTAAAAAATAATAAAGTACTACATTTCATTCTTGCCCTAAGTAAAACTAAATCTCTCCCAAAGTGTCAGATGTATTACTAATTACACAATTACATTATGCAGTCGTGCTGGTAATAAAATTCTTGGAGTGCTTTCAGCAAATTTGAGTTTGGAGAAAATAATGGCTTGCTTTAAAATTATTTACTAAATTAAGCAATTCTTTACTCAACATTGTTTTTAATAATTCAAGAACAGGATGTTTTATCATGTGCACTCCCCAAAACCCAAGTTTTTAAAGAAAAATCCATTCTTATTAATATGCACTCAGTTGCTCCAGTAAGGTATTTTTTTAAAAATATTTAATATTCCTGCTTTGCCATGCAGTGGAGAGATTTTCACCCTTTCTGTTCTTTCAACTGAGATTAGGTTGTATCTTCCTCCTGCCCCCAGAATTGACAGAGCTGGGGAGAAAAGGCCACAGTTTCATCTACTTCCCTCAGCAGGTGACCACAGATGTTTGCAAATCCTTGGTAGGGTTGGGGGCGGGGGGGGGGGGGGTGCGGGATGGGAATGCCATGACAGAAATTTTGACTCCTTTCCAAAGATAACTGAAACATCTCCCATGCCACATGCTCTCTTGCAATGTGACATTGTCACCCCCTCATTAAGAAGTGGAATCTACTTGATCTCCTTGAATCTTCATGGGCCTGTGACTGCATGGACCAGTAGAATATGGTAAAAGTGAAGGGAAGTAGGCTCAGCCCTTACCTGGCCTGGCAGCTTCTGCTTCCTTCCTCTTGTAACACTCATCCTGAGATGCTCCCTCTCAGGATACAGCCACCATGCTGTGAGACACCCAACCATCAGAGACACCATGTGTGGGCACTCTAGCTGACAACCAGCCTCAAGTGCCAACATGTGAGAGAGCCGTCTTGGATATCCTGTCCACTCCAGCCTTCAGATGCCTGCAGTCCTAGCTGCCATGTGAGCATAAGCAGCCTCAGGCAAGAACCACTCCGCTGAACCCATTCAACCCACAGAAACATGAGAGTGGATAAGTGTTTGTTTTAAGACACGGGACTTTGGGGAGGTTTGTTATGTGGCAATAGATAACCAGATACCTCTCTTCCAATTAGTCATATGTATGAACCAAGGTGAGATTTGTCCATTAAGTTAGTGATGAGTCTCCATGAAGGCACAATTAAAAATTTCTTGCTCTTCTTTGGGCCTCTGTTTTTCCATCTATGAAACACAGAGGTAGGGCTAGATCAGGGTTATAGCCCAGAGGTCATCATAGAAGTCAATATTTGGAGCCAATTCAAAATATTAGCGAAATATTAGAGGAAAAGCTGATGGAAGCTGCACAATTACCTGTGATAAAGTCACACTAGATAGCTAAAAACCAATTCCCCTTGTTTTTGGCTGCCATGATACAACCTGGTGTGTCAACACTGTTCCCTTCTGCCAGTCAGAAGCTGTTTAGCAGTCACATATGGCCTTGATGGCTAGAAATGAAATAAAGAATTAAATGCTGCTTAATTCATGCAGTTTGCTCAGCATAAAAAAGTTTCAAAACATGAACTTCCTGGCTGAAAAGAAGTCCTCAAGGATGGAAAAAAACAGTAATGCCTAGGCTGTCCCACTTGTAATAACGCTAATAGCTACCATGTATTGACCACTTACAATGAGTCAGGCTACATGCTAGGCTACCTGTGTTGCAAGTATTAACTCATCTAATCCTTCACATAACCCATGAGGTGATCCTTCACAAATCCTTCACAAAACCCCCCATTTAACAGAGGGAAAAACTGAGGCAAGAGGGACAAACTATGTTGTGTAAAACCGTACAACTAATAATTGGCAGCACCAGGACTCAAATCCATCAAATTTCTAAGTTTGCAAGATGCTGATTCCCAAAAATCCTGTATTCATGTGTAACCCAATTAAATACCCAAAGACTGTTCCTTCTACCTCCTTCCTCTTAGACAATCCATGTTAGGAGGGCCGTTGGTGTTTGAATAAGAGTACAGGTCTTTGTCATGGCCTGAAGAAGTAGGCCTGGGTGTTTCATGAGATGAGTTGACATCACACAGGAATGAGCTCTCACACACTGTTTGGGGCAGGGGATGGAGTGTGCAAATGGGTACCAACCCTTTGGAGGCTTGTCCAAACATTTAATAATGCTCAAGATGTAGCCTCACCATGTCCCAGCAATCTCTTTCCTCAGCAACATGCCCCAGAAAATCTCACGCACGTTTAACAAGGAGGGACGTACATGGAAGTTTATCACAGAGTGTTGGTTATAACAAAATGCAAAGAAGCAAACTCCATCAACAGGAAAATGGAAAAATAGACTGTATATTACTGTCATTCAAGGTATTACTATATAGTAAACTAGAACTAGGTCAACTAGATCAACTCAACTAGATCAAATATGAACTACATATTTCACTATGGATAAGCATCAAAACAGTATTAAAGGGGAAAAGCAAATTGTGGAATGATACATACAGTATGATGCCATTTCTGAAAAGTTATACAATATGAAAATTTTCTGCACATTTTTTAGGCTTACATATATATGCAGAGAATACCAAATGGACTTTTTGGTCAACCCAATAAAAACATTACAGGAATATTAAACACTTTAGTCATGATCATGGTTAGCTCTGAGATTAGATGAGAATGGAAAAGACCACATAGGAGTCTGGCATTTATTTGTAATATTTAATTTCCAAAACTTGGTGGTAAACACATGGTGTTCATTATACTGTCAATTCACTTAGGATACTTGGAAGATTTCATTATTTTTTAGTTCCTTAGAGACTCAACTTCCACACCATATCCAGGCTTTCAGCCTTTCCTCTGGTTAGCCATTTCTCCCTGTCCCTCCCCGCTCCCACCCCCCACCCCCCCGCCCCGCAAACCCCTAGTCTGAGTCTCATGCTTCCTTTCAATAAACAGATGCTATTTACTTCAAGCTTAAAATGCAAATAATCCTCAGATGGCTTGCATTTTAAAAGACCCTAATAAGAAGGCCTTTTAAGACCTGAAGACAGAAGGTTATAATGGTGGAATGATTCCCATTCAGTTCAGTTCAGTTGCTCAGTCATGTCCAACTCTTTGTGACCCCATGGCCTGTAGCACACCAGGCTTCCCTGTCCAGCACCAACTCCTGGAGCTTGATCAAACTCATGTCCATCGAGTCAGTGATGCCATCTAACCATCTCACCCTCTGTCGCCCCCTTCTCCTCCTGCCTTCCATCTCTCCCAGCATCAGGGTCTTTTCCAATGAGTCAGTTCTTCGCATGAGGTGGCCAAAGTCTTGGAGTTTCAGCTTCAGCATCAGTCCTTCCAATGAATATTCAGGACTGATCTCCTTTAGGATGGACTGGGTGAATCTCCTTGCAGTCCAAGGGACTCTCAAAAGTTTTCCTCAACACTACAGTTCAAAAGCATCAATTCTTTGGCCCTCATCTTTCTTTACAGTCCAACTCACACATCCATACATGACTACTGGAAAAACCATAGCCTTGACTAGATAAACCTTTGTTGGCACAGTAATGTCTCTGCTTTTTAGTATGCTGTCTAGGTTGGTCATAGCTTTTCTTCCAAGGAGCAAGTATCTTTTAATTTAATGGCTGAAGTCACCATCTGCACTGATTTTGGGGCCCCCAAAAATAAAGTTTGAAACTGTTCCCATTGTTTCCCCATCTATTTGCCATGAAGTGATGGGATTG